GGGAATACCTGTACCGCACCCACATTGGCTGTATCAAAACTACTCAAAACCAAACTGAAAAGGTTCCTTCTTGACCTCTCCTACTCCCTCTGGTCCAAAATAAGTGCGCGAGTTTGAGGAGGGTAGACATGACGCGTCATTTAATTTGATGTTATTTTGAATCTGTGGTGTCACCTGCCTGGAGTCGAAACACTTCGTTCAGATTGGCTCTTCAGATAGGGGAAGCTGAGAGCTCTCACCTGAGGTGTTAATGAGGGGGAGTTATCAAGTGGTGTGGCCATTTCCCGCGTTCAAAAATTCCATACTAATTTTCATATAAAACAATAACTTCAAATGACTAACATTCTAAAATGCCAATTGAAAGGCGCAACCTGACCGACGTCGAGCGCGAAACCATCCTCCGCGAGGTCTTGCTCCACAGCAACGGTGGCTACAAGGCTAGACTGGATTAAGCCAGATCCTTGTGGACAAGTACAAATGCCACGTTGCCACCATTGGGCGAGTCCTTGCGGAAGCGAAGAAGCAAGGTGTCTGTCAGGGCAACATGAATGTCAATGTTGCAAGCAATTAAATGGGTAGAGTCGGTAGAAAGAAGGCGTTCACCGCAAAAGAAGTGAAAACAAAGCTCCTGAAAGTACCGCAATCCCAACGAACGACACTTCGATCCATTTCGGAAAAAGCAGGTGAATTTTGACAGCAGAAGGGCCTAGTAACACTTTCTCATAGGGATAAGTCTCGGGACACTGCACCGATACCTCAAGCTTGGTTTGTTTCGGTCCCATTCCAACGCCATGAAGCCATTCTTGACTGAGGCCAACAAGTACAGCAAATGAAATTTGCTGTTTTGAGTTATTGAGTTCGTTGGTACGAACTTGGAGTTCAATAGCAAGCTTGAATATGTGCACTTGGACGAAAAATGGTTCTATATAGCCAAGAAGAGAGCCGAAAGATCAACATTGTGCCTGGTGAGAAGGAGCCTCATCGCACGTGTAAAAGCAAGAGGTACATTACAAAAGTCATGTTTCTATGTGCTGTGGCTCGTCCTCGTTACGACTATGCCACCGAAACTTGGTGGGACGGCAAGACCGGCATTTGGTCGTTCGTAGCGCCTGTCAAAGCGCAGCGTACCAGCGCCAATCGCGTGGCCGTGACTATTGAAAACAAGACAATGACTGTGACAAAGAACATCAATCGTTCCTTATTGGTCGATAATGTACTGCCTGCAATCGCTTCCAAGTGGCCAAGTGACCACAGTGTCATGAAGTTGCAACACGACAATGCCCGTGCCCATGTACCCCCGTCCGACGCGCTGCTAAACGAAGCCATGGCCAAGTACAAGGCGCTTGGATGGTCGATATCGCTTGCACCACAACCATCAATTCCCCCGACACCAACGTTTTGGACTTGGGTTTCTTCGCAGCCATCCAGTCCCTACAACACCGCAAGTCAGCACGTAGCATTGACGAACTGGTTGCTCATGTTGACGACGCTTTCACCGCATACCCGTACGAGAGGCTGAACCACACGTTCATGTCCTTGCAAGTGTGTCTGGCTGAGGCGATGAGAGTTTTCGGAGACTATGCCTACAAGTTGGCTTACATCGCCAATGCTAACCAAGAGCGCAAGGGTCTGTTACCTCAGGGTGTGTCGTGTGCACGGGATGTTTTCGACGCCGCGAAGGCAAGGTTGACCAGAATGGCATCCGCCGAGTTGGATCGTGTGCTCGCAGCCGAGCTCAAGGAGGCCCGCTG